CCCCAAAACCCCAAAACCCCAAAACCCCAAAACCCCATCGAATTTGAAAAATATTGAAAAATTAACTGACAAAGTTACTTGGGAAAGGATTCAATCGATTCTCTCTTGAATCTGTATATGGTTGCTGTGACACTGGAGTACCGTTCTGAGCTAGATGGTGAATGTTCGCAGAGGGTCTTCTACCTCTCCGCTTGCTTAGGTTCATCCCTCCACCAACATTAGCATTATATGGGTTGAAATTAGGCACACCCACATTATTCGCATTTGGGTTATTTGCTAAAGGAGACACACCAAAGTTAGACTCAATACTACTTCCAATCATGGAGTTTTCCCTATGTGGCAGCTGGAAGGAATGCGACATCACCATTTCAATGTTGAACTTCTGGTCTAACAAGTCTGCAAGGATATTGGTCTCATCGAGATCATCATTGGAGACTTCAATATGGTCATTTTCTTCTAATATCATTCTGAACTTTCTCTCAAGCTCTGCGAGACCTTTGCAAAATGATGAAAATGTTTCTGTCTCATCAAGATATTTCTCAAGCAGCATGTCATGAATCTCAAGAATTCTGTTAAGCTCAAGATATTTCGCCTTTCTCTCTCGGTCTTCCTTGAACATGTAGTTAGAGTTCCAGTAGTCCAAGTTCAGCTTACGTACGAATAAGTTGTAGAACTCATCAGTGATTTGTTCATATGAGCAGCAAAATCTTTTGTAGAAGTTCTGGATCTTGATGAAGTCACCTTCAATATCTGATTTCGGCTTAAAAGCTAAAGCTTTTAAGCACCAAAGGAGCTTCTTGACATTATGGTCCTCGTTCTGGTTTAAGAGACATAACCTATCAGCTCTCTGGTTGAGATAATTATGAAAGAAGTAGCTACAAGTCTTGTATTTAGTGTCATTTCCGAATACTCCAATAGCTGCAGAGGTCAGATTAGCTTGAGGGTCCAATACAACTTCTTCAGGAGAAAGATCTAGCTCTTTTTGGAGGTATGATAACCCAGCTTTAAAAGCTTCATCTGAGTCACTTTGAGTGATGAATGTACACAAAGTCACGCAGGTTTTGTTCTTGAAGGCTTGGATGAATACAGTTTCGCTCCATTGTGGCTTTAGCCATTTCTTATGTGAGCCAGAAATGTACAGTGTCTTTGCTTCCTGTAGAAGCTTTACTTGGAAATCAGAATAGAAAAATCACAAGTATTGCTTCATGTTATTTGCATTTCATTCTATCACTTCTCTTCAGAAGGGTTCTCCTTCGACTGTTTTGATTGATGAGATGTCACTGACACAGTGTGACTTGACAGAGAGTCTTGACCTTAGCTTGTTAATCAGGTTTTCTAGGAGCCTTTTGCCCAGCAGATTCCAATCTGTTCCTAAGCTGACAAATCAGTTTATTACCATTTCTTTGGTAAGTCTGAAATCAGATTCAAGCAGCTTGTTGATGACTTTTTTTTCATTGCATCGTATTTAACAATAAAAGGCAGATCTCCTTTCATATCAATGAACTCAGAGACTTCCATGGCTAAGTTCCCGAGTTCTCGGGAGATTTCCATGCAGCTGTGTTCTTCTTTAAGTAAAGAATGGGCGCTGTGTTCAATTCCGAGACCATTAGAGTCCTTTTCGAAGAGATACCATTTTCCTTTGCAGCCTTTCTTCCAGTCTTCACATCTATAGCAGTAGGCGTTCCTGGAAGTCCTGCTGAACTCATAAGTGTAACCATTTCTAACCAAAAGAGCGTTTTCAAGCAACTCTGCTTCTTTCTTCTTATTTCTTAGCTTGACTTCTTGGACACTTTTAGAGTCAAGTCTTCGGTCTCCGAGTGCGTTCTTCCTTGCACGACGATTCTCAATGAAAAAGATGAGAATTGGGCCCTTTTTGAGGGCCATGAGCTTGTAAGCAGCCTGGAGGTCATCGTCCTGGTTAATCACGCTTCTTTCATTATCCTGGTCATGAAAATATACTGAATAATCCTCAATGTTATAGATTTCAGGATAGTATTTATAAATACTCGTCACTAGTTCATAAAAGTTTCTCGGGTTATTAGGTAAAAGCCTTCCCTTTGTCTGGAACTTCAGCTTCACCATAAAGGTTTGCTATCAAATTCCCCATGATTTGATCCTGTTGATGAGTAATCAGTCCAGTGATCCTGTTATCTTCCATTAAAAAGTTCTTAAAAGGCTTTTCAAATCTCTCTTAAGTCCTGACTTGGGTTATTTTCCAATTATTCAAGAATTTTTTTAATCAAAAATTACTATAACTTCTGGGGTTTTGGGGTTTTGGGGTTTTGGGG